TTGAACCAATCTTCCTTGGAGAGATATTCTACATCTAGTCAAATAAGAATCTTCGATTCAGAGGTAAACTTTCTTTGAATAATCTCATTAGTTTTGTTTTGATTAGCATTTATTAAATTATATTGTTAGCATTTTCCTTAGACTTTTATTTAGAAATTATACAAACGTATGATTTCTAGAAAATTATCTTACGCCATTTTTGATTAAACTTGAGCCTTAGCCATTTTCTTTACAAAATTATATCCTTAGTCAGCCATCATTGAGCCTGAAAAAGTATAAATTCTTTTCATGAAAACCCAAAAAATACCCGAGCCATATAAAAATATATTAAACCTACCTTTGCTATCTAATTTTCTTACACCCTCTTTTAAATCAGCAGGATACGGAAAAATAAAAAAGAAGAAAAGGTAGAAAAGAGTAAAGAAAAAAATTATCAATGTTCAAAAGCAAAGGGAAATATGTGAAAAGAATTTCAAAGGAAAAAGAAAGAAAGAAAAGAGCCAAGAAAGTGAAAAATGGAGGAAAAATAAAAAGGATGATCATGCAAAGTCTAGAAAAAATAGAACGAGGTGTGCCGCAATGCTAAGAAATGATAGCTTTTGAATCCCATTGACGTCGTTTCTTAAACCCTAAACCATTGGCCACATTACAACATTAAAAGTCCTTTTTGATTCCAGAAATCATGCATTTGTATTAACCTTAACTATTCTAAATGGGAAAATGTTAATGATATGTTTAAAATAGTGTTAATATTCTTTCATGAGATTATGTCAAATTCCAATTTTATTCAAATAACCACACTTTTGATTAACTACATGGGAAACTATTTGCTTTGTTAACAATATTCTAAACACATGCAGTTTTTGAGAAAACAGTCACTATAACATGTGTATTCTTTGCTAAGTGTATTCCAGGAGATGATTGACATCAAGACTACCACGAGAGATGATAATATTTCTTAAGTGATTTCTGAAAATAAAGAAATTATCACACACACACAAATTTTTATAAAAATATATAGATAATATAACAACTAACGTGTGTTACTCTTACAGTGATCAGAAAAGAAAGTATTCAAGCAATACAAACAAAATATTAATTTTATTTTATTTGTGAAAAGTATGAATTGTGAACTCCTAACTATTGAAGTTTGTAGGTAGCTTCACTGAAAACCTTCATGAGACAAAACTCGTCCATTAGGGATCACTTACAAGTTTAACAGCTTGTTGCATATGCTAAATGCAATCATGAAAAATTTACGAAAATAATTTTACTCTGTTGTATTTTATTTACTAGGGACTATTAAAGTTTAAGTTAGGGAGTGTGATTAGCCCTAATTAATATGTACATTAATATAGTTAAATATGATAATTATATAAGATAAATCAATTAAAAACTATAAATTAGGGTTTGTGCGTAAGCTAGGGTTTTATTTATGTACTGTCTGAAATTTTAGGATTTTTATGTGGAATTACCAGAAATGAGAAGGAGCAATCTATCAAAGCTTGAAACAACAAAGGAAGCAAGTGTAATATAACCAAGAAACTACCAGAATAACAAGAGGATCGGCACCAGCAAAGAAAAATGGTCCGAACGGTAGTGGTGGCGTCCGGACGGTGACCCCAAGCGGTTTGAACTCATCCTCCATCTCATGCTTCATCTTTGCCTATATATATGGCATGCCTCCTTCACTTTAAACTGCTAGGCTAGGAGAGGAAACAAAGAAAGGAGAAAGAGAGAAAAAAAGGGAGAAAAAGAAAAGAGAAAGTCATAGAGAATTCAAGATCCGGTCTGTCCTACTCTCCAGCCAAAACTTTGCATTTCTACATTTCTGTTTTGTCTTTCTACTTGGAGAGTTGAACTGCCACCACCTTTGTGCCTTAATCGATATTAAGGGTGGTTGTATTTCAGTTGTTTCTTGCGAAAAAAGTGTCAGTGTCTGTATTTTATCTACTGTTGTAATGATACTTACCCGCACTTCTTGCTTGACTATAGTAATGGAGTGTGCCCTTTAGTGAGGGGTGAACATATATATAGTATTAGTTAACTTCTGAAAATGCTGATTTTTTATTATTCTATATGTATATATTATTGTGAACTTCATGCATGATACAATGATGTACATAATTGGGTGTTACTATGTAACCCGAAATTATGTCATCAGTGAATCATCAACCTGCCGATTAAATATCTACGGTGTTCCAACGGCATGACTAGTTCTCCAAGAACACTGAGGATGTTCTACTGTTGCATGGTACAATTGTCAGATTAATAATCTAAGTGATCCTCATGAATGACTTATCCTTCTAGATTATTGAAGTTGTTTAACTGATACATATTATAATAATAGCCAATTAATTAATTCAAGTGATCCTCATGAATGACTTGTCATTTCTGGTTTACTTGGATTAGTCAGTTGTCATATAACCAGCTAACCTAAGAAGTTATTGTGTTATGGTTTAATAATACCACCAACTAACCTAAGAAGTTGTTGTGTTATGGTTTAATATGCATATACTTGTTATACTATTGCCAATTGAGTAATTCAAGCAATCTTCATGAATGACTTGACCTTTTGGGCTATTTGGATTAGTCATTTGACATGTATACCATCAACTAAGTTAAGAAGTTGTTGTGGTATAATTTATATACATCAGACCTACCAGTTGACTTTTCAGTGACGTGGAAGTTAATTGTTGTAAGATAACATTTCCAGTATTTAACTAATATAAAACATATGAGATCATTAAACTGAAGGGTATTTTTTATATTATTGTCTTTTAATAATCTGTTTACACATTTCATTTACTTAGACTAGTTATCAATCTAAGCTCACATCGCAAGCTATCTCATGTTACACTGCTTTAATAATAACTTCACTGTTCTTATTTTAAAATTCTAATTATTAAAACTTTTAGTGGGATCGATCTTGGACTTAAACCGAGAAAACTACAAGTCGACCACTTATACTTGGGTGTATAATATAAATCCGATCACAAGATAATTCGAATCAATTATGAGAGCTATGGAGAGAAAATGGTTGTTTTAATTCAAGAAGGTTAGAATTTCTTACGCACTATGCTGAATTTTGAAACCGGAAATTAGAACACTTTCAAGTCCCATCAACCCAAACTTCTAAGCTCGTGAACCAATAACAAGACAAAAGAGAATTCCTTACAATTCTCGAGGCTTCACTGAAAATCCTAAGCTAAGAAGCTCTATTTGAGTCGAGTGTCCACATGACTCACCCATCCTTTATGTAATTACTTCTAAATTCCTTTTTATTTCTTTTATTCATAGACATATAGCACTTAAATTTTCCATCCCTTAATATATCTTACCCAAACTCATGTCTATCTTATAATTCAATCCCAGAAATTATTATTAAAATTCATACCTTACTCCCCACGATTCCATTAACTGTAATTTAACTTCCATAACTAATATTAACAAATTACACTTTACTTCCCAACATTATATTAAATGTCATGCAAATGCATGTTTGAGTCTCACATTAGGTCTCTAGATCATTATCTTATCCTAAGCAAGAAGGTGCATAAGGAGTACTTTTGATGTAGTTTTGACGCATAATTTCCTCCCTTCAAGTAATGTTTTCGGAACTTTATCGTTGTAGTATCATGACCATGAAATATGTTTAAATTATAAAAGATTCCATACAATTAGCTAATTACAAAATATGATCTAACAACAAAGAAAGAAAGTGTATCATTCGTTTGGTACAATAGAAAAAGGGGTGGAATGAAAAATAGGGTGGAAAGACAATCCACGCTGCCCCCCATTTTTATTCCACCTGAAACTGGAGAGAAAACAAGACGAAAAAGTGAGATCTGTTGGTTAAGTTGGCATAATTACATTTTTGCCCTTGTCTCTTGTTATCCAGTTGTATGCGCTCATTGCACAATCTCTACCTAGATGATTCTCTTTTCCTTACAATTAAAAGGAGTAATTTTACTTGGACCTAATTTATTAACTAAATTTTTTGACCTAATCATTGGATTGACAGTGGACCTAGAGTTTATTGGGACCCACAACTAATTTAATAGTTGTAATGAATTAAGCTAGCAAATTATCTATGCAAATTAGGTCCAAATAACCTTACTAAAATAAAAAGTAATTTCTTGGGCACAATGTTTAATAAGTATTCATAAAAAAAAAAATAGAAGAATGTTTTTTAGGTAAAACATAAGAGGACATTCTAGTAAATTTGGCCTAAAATGTTTTCCATCCTCCCCCCTTGTTATCAAACAGGACAGTGGAAAATCTGTTCCTTTCATTTTTTCATCATTTGCACCAAACAAAATAAAGGAAAAACATGTTTTTTTCCCTCAAGGATAGAAAATTTATTTCTTCCACTTTTTTCCTTTCATCTTTCCATTTATCGTACCAAACGGACCATTAGTTTGGCCAATTATGATTTCAAAATATACAAATAAAATAGTAAATTTAGTATGTATACATTTTATTTTTCTTTTTAAAAAAAAAATTTATACTTCAAGTTTTGCACCCATCATATTAGACAAAGAGGAAGGAAAATTTATTTCTTTCCTAGAGAGGTGAAAAATAAATTCCTTGAAATTCTTTTTTAATTTTTAACTTATTTTTTTCATTCTCACCAAACAGACCATCCATAGCATGCAACTAATAAAAGGCAGGGAATAGTTGTCCGTCATAGTAATCGGTTATCTTAATACGCAAAACACAAAACAGAGAATAGCGTTGATCTGCATGACTTCCAAATAACATTTCCAGTCGTCAGAAAATGGAGCCTGCAAACTAACACGTGTTGGCAGCCCACTTTTGCATGAAGTCAAGGTGTTGATCACTTAGCACACTAAACGCCAAGCCAAACTCCGTCCCATCTCTTCTTCTTATCTCCTCCTTTTGTTTTTTTTTCTTTTGATCGAGTACCATAAGACCACTCTCTGTCTCTCTGTCTCTCTGTCTCTCTCCCTCCTTTTGTGTTTGTGTGTGTGTGTACGATGGATCTGTTTAACTCGCTGCTAAATTTGGTGGTGCCACCGGCAAGCCTGGTGATGCTGGCATTTGCATGGCCAGCCTTGTCGTTCCTGAACACATGTGAGTGCCTTTACAGTAGTTTCTTCAGTGAAAATATGGAAGATAAAGTGGTTATCATCACTGGAGCTTCTTCTGGTATAGGGGAGGTAAACCCTCAGTCTCAAATTCAGGACTAATAAATTTCCTTTTTCTGCATGTTCTTCAGTGAATTATTCCTGGGTGTTTGTAAATTCTTGTTTAGAGCTTCGACTATCAGTTTCTCTCACAATGTTCTTTTTAGGAAAATTAGAATTAATTATGTTTCTAAGAGGTTTACAATTATTTATTTTTCACTTGGATTTAGATAGTGAAAATATCCCCAGCCCAAAAGACCTTTGCTTCTAAACTAATCGATCATTGTTCTCATTCTGAAAGATGAAGACATATTCTTTCAAAATCAGTGGCGGAGCAAGCATTTTATTTTAGGTTGGGCACAAATATGAATACAAAAATTTCACTGATTGATCTAAATTATTAAAGGTTTGGACATATTTTTAAACATGAACATAAGAAATATGTTAATAATCAAAACTAAAATACTAGAAGAAAATATCTACCATTATTTAGTCTTACTAAGACATGGAACACAAAACAGGATACAATATTCGTGTCCTAGCGCATTCAACTCAATTACCTATCCAAATAATACTTGATGTCATATCATATCCTGCAAATTATTTTTTTGTATGTAAAATTTTGTAGTAATTTTCTTCTTGATGTACATAATCAAAGAGCCCACCAATAAATCATCATATATTATATTAAAAACATATTTTTGATAATATACATAATCGAAAATAATCCTCAAATTTAACTGGCAACACTAATCCAAATGACCATTTAAATTCGACACATAACTCATGTTTTTTGACTTGTTAAATCCAAATCCAAATGCAAGGGTCAAAGGAAAGATTGAAAAATTAAAAGGGGCTTTAAGTGAAAATATCATGAGTATGTGAAGTAGGCAAGGCAAATGTAAGGAGGGGCATTTGACTTGATCCGAAATGTGTACACCCAAGTGCAGGCAGTCAAGCTGTAGTAATAATCCGATTAAGTCAAGAGTCGAATCTACAGGGAACTATGATTGGTGTTCTGAAGTGAGCAGTGACAGAGACCAAGTAATTGGAAACCTTGAGAGTTTGAAGTTATGAGATTTTTTTGAATAAAATAGAAGATTCTTTCCAACAGTTTTCTAGACAAAATATAAGACAAATTCAAATGTAAAACAATCACCCTTTAGCTTGAGGATTAGAACATGTAGTTGATCATCCGGTTTATTATACTTGTGTTTTATAACTCAATTAACTCCCGTATCAACAGCAAGTTAATCGGAAGATCAAGATGGATTGTGAGAATTAAGCACATTATTCCGATGCCTTTCTAGAAGTTTACAAGAATTGTCTGTGCCGAGATTTAACCCGTCTACAAACAAGCAAGGGTTTTTACAAGGTATCCAACCATGACATTAATGTTTCATTCTTTAGATAAAGCTCAATAATGGTGAAGATTAAAATGTTGTCCTGAAGATCTAGTCGGGGTACTTGCTTTGAACCAAAGGTTCTTTCCATACAAGAGTCATCTGTGACATAGAAAGAGCCCCTGGTTATACAAAGTACCTTAATTTTTCTAGATACAATCAATCATTCAATAAGCAAGTGGAATATAAAGCATTAAAGTATAAAAGAAATGTACAAATATAACTTCCAGATAATCAATACATGTTTATCACCTCTTACTAAAGAGTGAATGAAGAATTACTCACTCTTCATGGCTTGGGTCAAGCTAGAAAAGTGAGTGATTCTCATCCTTCCAAGTAGAGATCTTTCAAGGTAAAGTAAAATAAGCGAAGAGCCGATCTTCACCAAAAAATAAGTGAATCACGTTCTGTAATGCCCCAAAAACCCCTGTGGGTGACATTACATTCTAAAAACCATTTACCGTATGAGAGTATCAAGTAAAATTCATCACGACGAAAGTTTCATTCATCAACCATTCATATTTTAACAAAATTTGGGCAGAATCTCCTTTGTACGGGGAGCTCTACCCAAAACACAACCTGTACAATTATATTACAATTGACCACACCGGGTCCACATATGCATAACTATTGACCACACCGGGTCCATTTTTTCATCATAAAATAAACTTGCATTCATCATATGTCATATCCACACTATCATCCCAAATTAATAGGTCTAATCTTGGCCTTTACATCTCTAAAATGTAATAATATAACGCAGCGGAAATAACAGAACTGAACTAGAGTTCAAAAGGATATTCTAATCATAATCTAGTCTAGAACAAAATAAAAGTGTCGCTCTAAGCGTCCACCTCGGGATCCACATCCCCGTCAAGCGGAGTCTTCCAATGGGTGGGCTCCTCGGCTCCTAACTCCTCCTCAAGTATGAAATCTGAAAATTTTTATTGTAGGGGGTGAGCACGAAGCTCTGTAGCAAAATCCTCTCAACTCAAACAAGGTTTGAAAAACTAGCAAACGGTCGGTCTCATTTCACAACTAACATATATATAGGTTTGGAATGAAAACAGTGACATTTTAAAAGAGATCTCAAGTTTAAACAATAGCAATAATCAGTTAAAAGAATAAAGTGAGTTTAGCATCGATAAACAAAATTCTAATTTAAGCTATTTAAGAAGGGCTTCTCCCTAAGCATTGTCCCATACCAATGCGTCGACAAGAACGACCCAACTCCCGATTCCATGTATTTTTGGTTCATCCCCGTACCATGTATGTTGATTGCTTCTCGTGAATCTACCTAACGATCATGCCTAGTCCACCAATTCCAACCAACAATCACAAATCTCTTTAGGAAGGGCGTGTACCGTCTCCTACGGCATTGACGAAATCCTCCCAAGGTGTCTAGTATACTAACCCTTTTCCTCGGTGTATATGTGAACAATAGTGATCGCGAGCACAACAACGATCCACTACGAGCATTAGGCAACCATCTCACCCCTCATTGGGATAGACTAACCTCTAACACTCTACGGCATCTCTCGAAGGTAATCCAAGTCCATCACAACAACCATACAATGAGGAAATCAAGAATATTCACAATTCACAACAATTTCCCAAATATAGTAAAATCCCCAATTTTGTTTTCACATTTGTCATATAATCGAATAATCCAAGAAAATATGCAACAGATCGTAATCTATATCATTGTGTTATACAATATTCAACACTAAAGTTTTAAAATCAAAGACAAAGAAGAAATTAGGAGAAAATCCCCTTTTCTTGAAAACTAGGGCTTTGAAGATAAAAAAAAATCAATAGAGCTTTGGTGGTTACCCACCCTTCATATTGTTCAAAACATGACATTTATTACAAATATAACAAGAATCATGTATTTCATATTATATATATGAGAAGGAGAGTGAAGAAACATATATCTATATACATATATATATATATCTAGCCTCAATGTGAGAGATTGAGAGAAAATCCCCTACCTTAAATCAAGATTCCAATCTAAGACCCAAGCTTCAAGACCTTCTTGCTCTCCTTTCTTTTCCTCTTAATCTTCTCCTCCTAGGGTTTCAAAAGATTTGGGTGAGAGGGTAGCAAGAATGGAAGAAAATGGGAGGAGAATGTATTCTTGAAGAATTTGAAGTTTTGATTTCTACAAGGTATAAATCCCTCTTGATTGGTATTTCTATCTTCCTCTCTTCCTCTAAAATGGTTCCTAAGGTTTGGAGGGGTGAAATAAATGCTAAAGGGACGACATTAGGTTTTTATAGGGCAAGAAAATCGAGCAAAACCCGATATTTTCTGTTCAAAAAAATCGGGTTTCCTTCGTACTGTTCACAGATTTTTGGTGCGACTTCCAGGTCAGTTTTGACCCATTTAGAGGTCGAATTGGAAATTTTTCATGAAATACACTTTTGTAGCCCTAGATGTCTACTATTTCCTGTCAAATTTCAGATCAATTGGACATCAAAATATAAAGTTATGATCAAAATACTAAGCAGTGTCCATCACCCCTTTTTATCCAATTTCACTCAAATTTGGTTTTACTTCTAAAATACTTCCTAACTTCTAATACATCCCATATTACCTCTTCCAATGTTTTCCGACCTCCCGAATTTAATAGTAATGTTATTTTGATAAAAAAATTAATATATTTATTTAGTTACCCTTATCAATCTTAAACACATCCAAAAAAAAAAAATTAAGTTTGACCCAAAAGTCAATCCGTTCGAAACTCAAACTTCATGATTAATATTTCAACAATGATTCTAAGTTTTTATTCTCATTTTATTCATATTTGGAAAACTCTTAAGATATTAGTATTCTTATTTAATTTTTAGTACAGGGTCTTACACGTTCCACCCTTCACGGCTTTGGTAAAGCTATAGAAAAGTGGAAGAGGTTTACTTCTCTAAGGAAGAAGGAAGCTCAAGCAATGGAAGTGAGAGACATGAACAATAGAAGTAAAAGAAAGCTAGTCACATTTGGAGGGTGGCTTCCTTAACCAAGAAATGGAGGGTTACTTCCTCAACCAACATATGAACTAACTCCCTTGATAGAAGCAAATATAATATACATCTAACTACATGAGTGGGAGTCCAAGCCTCCATCAAGTTCTTAACTAGTTCTTGGTGTAGTCTAAGCCTTACAAACCAAGTTCTAGTCTTCTACAAGAACATCCTCTCCCTCTCAAAGGCTCTCCCAAGGGGAGTATTTATAGGCAAGGAGGAGGGGGAGGCAAGGGAGTGTGAAGGTATAGTGTATGCCGCCCAAATCCAAGTGAAAAACCAACTACTCTGCAGCCTGCCAGTGGTAGACGTTCGAACGTGATTTGGTGTTCGAACGTTGTCTCTGTTTTAGGCGTTCAAACGTTTCTACTGTTTTTGATTTGTGGGCGTTCGAACATCAGATGGGGTCTGACCTCCTCACTCGAGTAACCTGTGGTCTTTTGTGGAATCCCATTTTCACACTTCATGCACATCTTGGCTCTTTTACACTCATTACTCTGGTCTTCAATCAAGTCAAATGGACATTCAAACGTGAGTTGGTATTCGAACATGGTGCTCAAGTGCTTCAGGGTCTTCCTTCTTGCCTGCAACATGCCATGTCTCAGCAGGCTGGTCTTGTATCGCCCCAAAATCCACCCTGGGAGGCATTACTATCTACAAACCATTCAACCATGAGAGCAACTAAAAATAACCATTAAGTAATAAACCGTTCATCCATTCGATAGGAAATAAATACTAAAGTCAATAAAACATTGAAACTTCTCCAACTTACAATTCAAAACCAAAAATATCTAGCAGCGCAATAATAAAAATTAGCTAAAACATTGTTTTATAAAAATCTCTCAAACTCTAAACCACAAATAGATCAACTCTATTCCTCTAATATAGGATCCACATCATGAATCTCCAACGGCTAGTAATCAATCTGCTCATCCACATTGACATCCTTTTTTATGCCAAAATCTGTAAGTGTGTTTTAGGGGGTGAGCAAAAGTCTGTAGGAAATCTCTTTCAAATCCCAACAAAGTTTAAAGCAATAAAAGATGGCAAGTCTCTTTTGAAAAAATAACATATATAGATTTTGAGAATAAAATTATGATAATTGTAATGATCTCAAGTGTATGGAATATAGTAAATTAATGACAGGAATAAACTTGCAAGAAATTAAAGCAATCAATAAATATCTCAGTAACATCATTCCATATTCTCATGTATGTTAGTTCGTCCCCATTGTGATGTATGTTGGTTGTTTCTCAGGAATCTACACAACAATTCTGCCTCGTTCACCTATCACAATCACACAATCTCAATCATTCCCCGCAGGGCCAAATCATAAACCACTTTAGGAAAGTCGTATATCGTCTTCCACGGCATTGACAAATCCATCCTAGGAAAGGTATACCATCCCTCAACCTCGAACTTACGTGAATAATAGTGGTTGCTCTCACAAACAACAATTCAATACAAGTGTTAGACAACCATCTCACCCCCACTGGGATAGACTAACCTCTAACACTCTACGGCAACTCTCGAAGGCAATTCAAGTCCATCACAGCAAACCATACAAGAGATAAAACCACAATATTCTCAACAACCACAATCTTAACCAATCACAATTTTCATTAACAATTCAAGTATCACAAGTGCACAATTCTCAATATACTATAGTACTAGAGGAATTAAAATATGTGAGAGATCATCTCAAGAAAACATTCACAATTTTGATATCAAAATTCTAGAGTTTAGCCAAAAATCATAATTTCTTGGAACAAGAATAAATATTAGATGAAAACATGATTTAATCAAGAATAGAAATTTAGAAATCAAGAATTCATATGAATTTCACAATGGAACATGTATTTTAGAAAAACTAGGGTTTTGAAAATTCAAGAACATGTATTCCTTGAACCCAAACATATATTTTGTTCAAGACTATGTTCCAATGATAAAGAAACCAATAACTCATATATATCTATCATATAATTATCAAGAAGATTAAAATCATACATAATTATACCCTAAGTTTCAATGAAAGAACTTGAGAAGAATTCCCTACCTCAATTCCGTAGTTTGTGTGTAAACCTAGTGTGCTTGATCCGTTCCAATGTGAGAATCCCTTTGAGTCTTGTGTTTCTCCTTCTCTCTCACTCTCTAAGGTTGTCTAGGGTTGAAAACTAATAAAAAAAATAACTAAAGAGACGCCCTTATGGTATTTTTAGGGTAAAAACAGAGAAAAACACTAAAATTGATCGAGGCCATTTTTAGGTTAGTGTACGAATGGTCCTTGGGCATCCAGACTATTCAAACTCACTGTTTTTGATGAAAAATAATATTTTTGGGTAAGAAGTTCCGTTCGGACGGTGCTTAGAGCATCCAGACGGAGGTAACTTTCTGTCCCAACTTCGGAAGTAGTGTTTACCTATTTAGAAGTCGATTTAGGAAATTTTTGTGAAATACACTTTTGTAGTCCTTGAAGTCTAGTTTCTACTGTCCAAAATTCAGCTCAATCGGAGTTAGGATTAAAACGTTATGGCCAAAATTATTAAGGTAGTATCAAATTCCTTCTTACCCGAATTCTTTCGAAAATGCGTTTTAGCTCTAGAATACGTCTTAACTTCTAATACACCCCATATTACCTCTCCCAAGGTTTCTTGACCTTCCGGATTCAATGAAAATCTTCTTTTAACCAAAAAATATTTAGAAACTTACCTAACCTCCTTTTTCAAGCTTAAACAACTTTAAAACTTTAAACTTCACAATCAATTTATCTCCCAATTATTTATTCCTACCGTTACAATTTATATGGTTCATTCTTACGTTATTACATATATAAGGATTACTAAATAATTACATCAGTATCTAAATATAAAAATGTGGGGGTTTATAGGTCTTCTCATATTTTAAGTGGACATTCGAACGTGAGTTGGCGTTCGAATGTTATTGCTTTGTTCCAACCTTCTCCAATTTTGTTACCTAGTGCACTGGTGTTACACTCAAGTATGATATTTGTTGTTCTTGAGCCTTTGTTCACTTTAGGACCTGAAATTTCATTACTTAAACTCCATCCATGTACAATTAGTCCCAAAAAGGCATAGTAAAATGCTAATTTTAAGCACTAATAAGGCATCAACCCACCGTGGCCGAAGCCACTCTTCAAAATTATTATCAAGAAGAAATAAAATATCAAAATTTATTTGGTCCTAATTAAGTCTACACAACTTGTGGGAAAAAAAAAATTCCCTTATATTTGTGGGCATCTATTGAGTCCCTGATTGTAAATGTAGTAGTTTTCTATAGGAAGTTTAGACACCCGTGTTTGTAAGGGATGTGAACCAAAAATCAAACTTGAAACTTAACTGTTTATTAACCAAAGGAGAATGATCCCATTACATAGTTTCAAAAAAACTTCAATCCAAACCCACTTTCCAAAGAATAAATAACTAGAATTCAAACTGATTCCAATGGTGAATGATTTATGTTTCATTTTTTTGGTGGGTGAGACCATCAATAACCAAAGATGCAGTAGCAGCGTTAAAACTACCCCCTCCCTTCCCAACAACAAAAATGAATGAAAGAAAAAAGAGATAAGCAAATGGTGGGATAAATCATATTCAATGCAACAATAATACCATGTCAATATTGCCACATGCTATCACCAACCAATAATAAAATACCAAATGGAAAAGTGAACCTCCTTGGATAGTTATTCACTTACATGGAGGGATAGTTATTAATTTGTACGAGTTTATTTTCTTGTTTGGTTACATGTTATTAGTTAGTGATAACACGTGACATTGCTAACGTGATATCACCATTATATTAAATATTTTCTCAATAAGTAAATTCATATTTCTTACAATTTTCATATGCAACACTAGTCCCTAAAAGTTTACATTTTATATTGGTTATGTTACATCTACCCCCCTCATGTATAGATAATAACATTACACTCCTTTGTACTTTGATTATCAAGAATAGATTTCCCTTGCTATTAGTGTTCCGTTAGTGAATCGTTAATGATTTGATGATGCTAGAAATTTATAATTCGACAATATCAATAATACCTTTCTACTCCTGAATTTAAACTTGTTGTCGAACAAATCCTATCTATGTTATACACATTATCTTTTATTTCCCAACATACCCATTTATTTAAGTGACACCTCAAAAATTCGGGTGTCCGTAAGTAACCCATGATTAACTCGAATTAAGTTATGATATCAATTCACTCTGATACCAAGCTGAGATGCCTCGATTCTCGAGGGTCCCGTTTAACCCGTTGAACACCTATTAACCCGTAGAATAACCGTAAATACTATATAACACAATACCACACCATTACGTCCCATTTACTGGGATCCATAACTTAAGAAAATTCGGGTAGAAACTTGTTTGTACGGAGAGCTCTACCCAATACACAACCTGTGCATTTATACAATATTTGACCGCACCGAGTCTATTCATCAATATTCAATCACATAGCATTGAATACTAACTCATAACCATCATCTGTGCATACATTCATTTATAAAAGAATAAATGTCCAAAAGAGTCTCATATACATGCCTTAATTCAGATACAAGTTTTGTTTAAGAAATTTATACAAGGGTAATGTAAATGGAAACAAAAACTACATTTTCAAAAATGAGAGTCACAATCTAGCTTTGTCGTCAAAGTGGACCTAAGTTAGGAGGGCCTTCAACAGAAGATTGTGAGATATTTGAAAAATGTTCCCATAAAGAATGAGTCATCCTCAATAGGATATCTCCTATAGACATTACCTCCCAACCTACATACATAGGAAATGTCACATGCAAACATCATGTCAAGCATCCATTCAAAAAAAAAATATATATATATATATATATTTCATAAACGAATGCTACAATTTCATGCCATGCTGTGAGATGAAAACTCAAGTATGTGATGTAACACCGATCCTCACCGGTTCTCATAACACATGTTATGCCATGCATATGCATCCAGACATTCTAAGCTCCCACCATTGATGTTAGACATTCAATGACTATTTTATAAAAATATGTGTCTTTCTGGAGTAGGTATTTATGGACTTCCACCAACGGTCACTCACCCGACACAGAATTTATGGACTTCTACCGACGGTTCTACGTACACCAACACACTTTATGGACTCAATACCAACAGGAGTGCGCATTCAAAATTGTCAGATCTTGTCTCAGAGGGATAATCTAGTCCTTCTTGCTAATCTTGACACTCTTTTGAATGCAAATTAGTGCGACTTAGTCAGACTTAGGTCTAAATTTCCCGAACTCATGCATCAACCCACCAAATATGGTGTTTGATTAAAAGCATGTACATGCACCCACAATCATGTCGAATGCCTACAAATGTAATGCTACCATGCATATGCAAATATAAGTACAATTGCAATTCATTTCATTATACTCATCGTATCATAAAGTATATAATAAACATATCTATTTTCCACAAACATTTCTCAACATGTCATATATGATTTCAATTCAAAGAACATACTCAAATCCTAAGCATTTCATCAAAACACTTAGTGGACATAAAATGTAAACATATAGCATACTCAGATAAGTCATTCCATCAAATTCAAACACTTTTATAAGTCATTCCATCAAACCAAAACACTTTACCACCGGTAAGTCGTGCCTTTCCTACTGGTAGGTTCTCATTTTTAAAACCAAACCAAAATCAAGCTATAATGGGCTTTAACATACTCATATACTCATTTTCCATACCCTAGATATACTAGGTGTGAGCTAACATATAAGATCATATCTTTATAGCCCTGCCTATTTCATATAGCAATTCTAGGTTGAAAGTAAACTTAGATAGAAAGGAACAATACCTCTTGTAGCGTGCGCACGAGATAAAACGACTCCTCACGATGCCAAACAATGCTTCGTTCAATCCTGACCAAAAACTATGATTTCTAAAATGTGTCTCAAATAAGCGTGGATGGTACCCACACATAGCCCTCGCCGTTCTGAGCAATTTTAGTTCTTGCTCCTAGGCGAGTTGTCGCTCGAATCTTGGTAGATTGAAGGAAGAAGAAGAAGATGAATTTCTTTTTCTTTTTATTTTTTCTCTCTGTCTCTCTCGACTAATGCTTTTAGTGTGTGGTGGAGACTAAGTCTCCTTTCTTTCTTTCTTTCTTTATATACTTGACCAAAAATGGGCCACATGTCATTGTTTGATTGGTCCAATTTTATCCCAACCAATCACATTTCGTGATGTGTCATATTTAATATAATTTTATAAGATTTACTTTAAATTATATTGTGGGTTTCGTGATTAAAATCTGATCGCAGAATTTTAATCGTGTGATACCCAATTGTATTGTAACACTTAAAAATCTGACTGTCTTGAAATTCGATAAAAATTGATAGACTAGCCCAATTTTGCGAGACAAATCAAACAGTGAGATCCATTTCGTCATCTGAGTTTTATAAAATTTTTGGACCCTTGACCCGTGCTTTAACAACTATATCATTTTATCCCTTTTGTTATTTTTAAATTCAAATTTTCCAGGTTTTATAATTTGCACCCTTTTTCGACATCCTCCACCACTCTTTCTCTCTTTCCAATAGCATCCCTCCCCATTTTTCTATCATCACACTCTCTCAGGAGCCCTTTCCACCTCTCTCCACTAGCACCACACATTCTCTCTCTCTCCCCCCACCCTTCCGACGGTGGGTTCCTCTTTAACTATCATCCCTAAGTAGATAGCCCTTGATGTTCTTTGTTGAGGACCCTTATCGCCATGATTTCCAACACCTCTACCCTCTTCCAATGAAACCATGATAGCCCCTAAGCACCCACCCTTGAACCCTAGACAGAACCTAGTCCCCTTCCTATCTCTAAAACCCACAACTAACCTCAACCTCCACCACCGAAACCCTTAATCATCTCTAACTAGAACCACCACCGAAAAATTTAGAGCCCTTCTAGAAATACCCCACTCAAAAACACAATTATCATCACCTATAAATTTAATAACCATTAATTAAGGAAGTCCAATTGAATTCATTAATTTCCTAACAAACTAAACTAGGCTTGGAGGATTTATCACCAACCACATTGACTGATGGTTTCAGTTTTGCTTTGAAATAGTGTTCATTAAAATTGGTGGGTAGGTCTAGGTCACTGTTTGAGTGAAAGCATATAAACTTCAATTGATGATGTTAAAACTCAAAAGAGTGAGACAATTGCTTGAACTGAGAAGCTCAAGGCTTAGGAATAGTGGTTTGTGAGTATGAACAGTGTGTGAGAGATAGATGCGTGGCTGGGCCTAGAGGCTCTATAAATGCTATAGGAAATGTAGAACGGAGGCAAGAGCTAGGGAATGAGACAGAACACACAGACTATATTGGTTCATCAAACAAAGAGCTTGGCTAATCCACTCTAATGGAGTCACTTGCTCCTTAGGAGGTTTTTTATTGCTTGGGATAGAAGATAGGAGCTACTAATGCTGAGATTACAATTATTGTGTCTATACATGGGCAATTGCCCTTATATATATATCCACACATGGGGTGGTCCTCACGTTATCATCACGTGGTCCCCTGTTTGTTAGGATTTTGTTAGGGGAATATTTGGTTGTTAAAGGCTATATTCCCTAGGTGTGACGTGACATTCTAGACCATGATGAGGTGGCATTGAGACCTATCCCTAAGTCTAGATACTTTGTGATCTTTCATGTCTGTGAGAGGTCATTTTGCTTGAGTCGACATCTTGTTCCTTTGGATAGCTCATGGATAAAGGACATCGTTCCGTTTTCCATATAGAGTCGGCCCAAATGCAAGGCAACTTAGGCAGCCTCTTAGGGCCTCGCCTGAGAGGGGCCCATATTATTTTTATGATTAGTTATAAATATATAAGCATTTCTTTGTCTTAGATTTCTCCTTTTATTTACCCACATAATATATCAAAAGCCTTCTCTTTTTAGGGCATACAAGATAACTACAAGTTTAGCACTATTTTTTATATTTTTTTTGTGTCAAACTATTAAATCATGAGCAATTTTGTTGAGATTTAATTTAATGATCTAATGATATGTCAAGTCATAAAAGTCTCGTTTAAGAAGTTCAACATGGTTGCAACTAGAATATTGTTACATTACTAAATTAACAAATTATGTCAGATTTTTAGGTCTCAACAACATCTCTCTCAAGTAATTTATGTGATTTTTATATGCTAACTCACAAACTTAAATACATATTATGAAAATCTTGAGTAGTTTGTAAAATGTGATCAACTTTTTTTATATTCATAAGTTGGATTTATTTGTCTAGCTGAAAATGTAAAGTGGTTTTACAAACAAACACTAATACTTCAATCAAAATATTAAACCGTGAAGAAAGACTAGGCTTTTTCTTTTCCTTTGTTTTTCGGTGCATTAAGCTTTTTTTTTTCCTAATATGTGTATTGCTTATACAATAATATTGATAATACACATATCAATTGCTCTTGCAAAAAAAAAAAAATTAAAACTGTTCCTACTTGTGATGAATTATGTCACAAAAATATTAAGGTCATACTATGTATTCAAAATGTTATAATAATAAAACTCAAGTATGGAAGGTAAATTTAGTAAATTTTACATCTCAAAAAATAAATTTTAATTGTATTACTTATAAAATAACATTTTCACCTAGGGCTCGGAATAGTACTAGGCCGCCCTGCTTCCTCATGATGTGATATGGATGGCCTAGGCACGTTTACCTAAGCTGAATGTACAACCAGAGGTATGGAGACAGACCTCATTATTGGACCCTTGCTGAAAACAAGATACGAAAATATCCTTTCACTCATTTTAAGTATTATTTTTGGTATCATCATCAATAATGGCTAAAATCTTCAGTCACTCCTCTATTTGTCTCTTCCACTCAGTCTCATTGTGTTTCCATGACTAGATAGTCCGACTAAAATAATCTAATTTGGGGGAGTGTGGTTGAGGGTGGGAGACTGAGAGAGGTAGAGACGGGGGATGTGTTTTTGACTGAGGTGGCAATTGGGGTGGAGCTGTAGTGTACAACTGACATTGGTTGTCTCTCGATTGTTGCAAACTTGAAGACAATGACATGGCCTCGTGGGATTGCTCTACTCTAATACCAACAAAGATTGAACTAGTATAGAATTTAAACTTGTCTATCTTAATGAAGGGCCTCATTATCATTTTATAATTTGTGAGAATAATAAGACGGATGTCACTGTGTTATTATCCATATAGAAGGGGTGGTTCTTTTCATTTGGACAAACCTCAAGGAAGGTGGATGTAATTTACCGTTTTTTTTTAAATGGTCCAATTGTTAATTTATGTTCAAATAACTAGCAAATAGGGTTATTCTTTTAATGATGGCCACTGCATATCCTCTTTAGTTAGTTATTTGGGCAGATGTTAGCGAAAGAACCACTTAAAAATAAATTGAAAACCAGAGAGACTAAAATATTATAATTGTTAGTTAAAGCATCGAAAGTGAGGCTGACCACCTACTTTGGGGGACGACATGTGTATTATTCCGTAATATTAATGATATGAGAAAAATATTAACGCATTTAATGATGAGATTTGAGTCGAGGATCCCCTTGTGGCAATAGTCAGCGAATCCAGACCTCTTTCTAGGGAAGAATGAAATTGAGAGAATTAACTAAGTTGCCAAGCATCAACTAGGTGAGCACCTCAATTCTTTCTTTGAATTCTATTAGATTTGTCTCTATATAAGTATACAGAATATGTAGCTAAAAGTTATTTGCACATGCTCCCTCATTTAGTCAATATGCATGTAGCCACACACAGCATGCCAATTGGAAACAGTTTAATAAAGATGATCCTACTGTGATTGCTGTAATATTTAGCAAATTGCATATGAATACGCAAAGAGGAGGGCCAATCTTGTATTGGTTGCTCGAAGAGAGAATAGGCTCCGAGGGATTGGTGAGAATGCTGGACGGCTGGGCGCAAGTCACGTGATGATAACTGCTGCTGATGTTGTCAAGGAAGATGATTGTAGGAGGTTCATCAATGAGACCATAAACTTTTATGGGCGTGGTAAGTCAGAAGTGTCACCTCATTTTTGTTTGAAAAATCGGCATTAGTCATGATACCATGTAGATGGCTTATTTTGTTGTTAAGCCTAATAATTTTTTTCTCGACATGAATATGCATAAAGAATAAGAGACCCAATTTTTAACATTCTCAAAAGGGAAAAAAAAACTCAGTTATGTTCATGTTTGTTATCTAACTTTGTGCTCGTGTCATAGAACAAAATGGAGCAGCAGCAAAAGTTGCATTTCACTTTTGTTCAACATATAGCATGCTCTCCAGTATGACGCCTCATTGTTTACTTGAGAAGAAGACATTTATAATATGTGGTAACATCGTAGACTTGGAATAAGACAGCTCATCATTGTATGGACATATATAATACGCAGCATTAAAATTTAAAAGTCCCTACAGAGTCATATGTATCCTTCAAATCATAGTGATTGTAAAAGAGTGGTCTTCATAATATCTATTTCCGGGACAGAAATCACCTAGCTTGTACAGAAGGGGGCTGAATCCGGACCTTTCTTGCACTTGATCCAACTTGCTTTTGTAACCTGTTTCGTTGATAATTTCATTTGACCAACAAAACTTTTGCAACATAGTTCAGTAGACAATGGTGCTTTGGTCCCAAAAACTTTCTTCTGCAACCACTGTGTAATGTCCTTTGTTCACTTTGGCGCCACTTATTGTCCATAATTGTTATTTTCTTTTGTTCTCTTTTATGCAGTGGATCATCTAGTAAATACAGTCAGTCTGGGACATACTTTCTACTTTGAGGAAGCCAACGATTCATCTGTGTTTCCCATTTTGATGGTAAAGCGGATAAATTTGTTCGAAGTTTAAGCATCCTGAATTGTTTCAATTTTGGTCCTTAAAATAACCTCATTTTGATCAGCAACTTTCAATTTTGACACTTTTTTGTTCTTTAGGTGGTCCAATCCCTAACTTCAGTAAAAATAATGCATGGAGGGGATTATGTATCTTTTTACAATATGCTCGATGGCCAATTCTGTCTATTATTTGAACGAAAGTGAGTGGAAGGACCAACTAAAAAATTAGAAATATAAAAAAAGCAAACAATTGGAAACCATAGGGATTAAACTAGCAGAGTGCAGGGGGATGGACCAAACTAAGACTGATCACATGGATCAGGAACCACTAATGTAATTTACCCTTTATTAGAATGTATGAATTGCCAGCGCTTTATATTAACTGATCGTAAATCCTCTCAGGACATAAACTTTTGGGGAAATGTGTATCCTACATACGTTGCTCTTCCATACCTGCGACAACACCATGGTCGAATCATCGTTAACGCTTCAGTTGATAGCTGGCTACCTTTGCCAAGAATGAGCTTATATTCTGTAAGTATGTGTGCAGTCCTCAAATTTCTACCACTGCTTGACTAGAATCTGGCCCTTCTGTATTCTGTAACATTTGCTGGCAAAAGTTCCATGCTCAGAATGAAGTAATTCTGAGATGTGATTATTTTCTAAATTTCTGAAATTCATTTTGGACTTCAAATTTCTTAAAGTCAGAGGTGAAACATAATTTTTAGTAACAAATTGCTCTCTATCTGATATGGCTAAGACAGCAAATGGTAGCTCACCTCAATTTTCAACTAATGTTGGTACATCAGTGGTGAGAAATTTTTTAATGGATGCGAGTTGTCCTATGTCAAACAGTAAATGCACAGCGCCTTTCCAAAATTACTATCAATACGTATTATGAAAGGTACAATTGTCTTTCTGAATATCAATTAACCAAAAAATGTTGAAACTGATGATACATCAAGAGGAAAAATTGCATTAGTCTGATAGTTCCTTTAGAGTAGCAGTATAAAGTCACTTTTTTGCTATTGCAGTATAAAGTAACTTACAAATTAAGAAAATATTAAATTTCATCAGAATATGATTTTTGGGTTTGTACATAAAATTAAGTTTATATCTTTAGTTATGTTGAGTGTAGGGTGAGCAGTCGAGGCTGCTCTGGATTAAGTTGAGCATGATCCAAGCTTCAAATGGATTCAAGTTTGTGCCCATTTATTGGATTTAGGTCATCCCAGTCCAAAACGGAATTAAGCTGATCCAGAACAATTTTAGCCTTAACAGTAATGATAGAAGTCAAAAGATTTAGGCTGCTAGCAATCAGAACCATACTGTGTTAGAAAAATATCAAAAACTGGGCTGATTAGTTAACTGAACCATATAATTTTAGACAAAATTTGAGGTGGCTGCTTTTGGTTTTAATGTCAAGTGGTCTCACATGGTGGGGTCCAACAGTCTATGATTGAAGCTATTGGGTTTATTGGGATTGCACCCAACTGCACCAAGATATTTGTTGGTGGAATCAACATTCCCAACAACTGGTGTTAAGACTGAGATAATCCTGGACCACCTTTGAACATGTAAAGCTGGTTACGGTAAAGCAGTGGTGGACTGACAAAGTAGCGAAGGTACATGCAACTAAGTGCAAACCTCTCAAGGAAGTCATAAGTGCAGTGACTCATGAGTTCAGAGCTCATCTAAAATTGTTGTGAATATGGTAGCATTTGAAATAAAAAGGGGCACAAAGGCTTGTTGAGAGTAGCAGTTCACATGCAAGGTGGCTTGGAAGCCCACGTGTGTGAAGGTTTGTCCAGTAGTCCCACATTGGAATAATATAGTGTCATAATATACATGAAGTCTCAGACACTTGCACGAGAGGTAAAAGAAAGAAGAAACTGTTATGCCCTAAAATAAAGGATACTTTGGCTGAACTATTGTACGGGCTCCACTAGTTGAATAAACAAGCTGAAAGCATTTGAAGACTCACAGGAGTTTGATCTTTTAAAAGTTGATTTTAGATACAAGGTAATGTGTACGAGGGACTAGAGTATGAACCAGAAATAAAATACCAGAGGAGAGATTTAAAATTTCATCTACTATACATTAGACGCACATTCTTCAAATGGTATCTTGCATTAAATCTGTTTGTCGGGGGGAAAAGTTACAAGTACAATGCCAGAAAAGTATCTTTTTCTAAGAAGATAAGCTCCCTATTAAAGGGGATATGGACGAAACCTTATATATTATTCAAGGGAAAAGGATTCTATTTTTCAGTCCATAAAATGGTTGTACATTGATGGAGGTCAATTTATATGGGAAAAATATCTGATTCTTTATTACATATACTGGTTGTACTGTACATTGATTTAGAGTAGGGATCCTTTTGAACCTCACTTGCATTTTTGTTTTACTTCTATTTCGTTTAGCGCCTCTGTTTCCTAGTTGCTTTGGTCTTATGTAAAACTGATATCCCATCCTCTCTCCTTCATCTTGCTTTTATTTTTCCTTCACTTACTCTTCCCATTCGGTGTCAAATTACAACCTTTTCATTTTTTTTTCTTGTGCTTTTTTGAGCAAGGACAATTTCTTGGCTTTCTTGGTTGTGTTTTTGCATTACCAGGCAGCAAAGGCAGCTCTAATAAATTTTTATGAGACGTTGAGATTTGAATTGAAGGATGATGTTGGAATAACACTTGCAACACATGGTTGGATTGGGACTGATATGACCAGGGGAAAATTCATGCTAGAGGAAGGTGCAGAGATGCAATGGAAAGAAGAAAGAGAAGTAAGTTTTGGTCTTTAGCTCATGCAGTTCTCTTAGAGACATAATATTTTACCGCTGTAAATGTATTTTCCATGCATTAGATGCATGTCTAAGTCTGACTAGTGTTACAAATAAATCGTTTACGGTAACGTGTAACATAAACAATCCCTCACCGTTTCTTTTGTGCATGTGTGTTACCAGTTCCATTTTGAAAACTCCTCATTATCAGTTGTCATTATTCCTCCAACTGGCATTTATGATGGCCCTGAATGTGAAACAAACAATTATTAGGAAGAGTTTGTGAAATCAGTATTGCTATGTGACTGATTTGTGTTGCGGCATTACCAGTATCAGTGTTTTCAAAATCAGGATCTTGTCAAGTAATTTTATAATCATGGTCTAAGTTCCAATTGCGAGTTTGTATTCATGTTATTAGATTTTCTCTTACATATTTTTTGTTTAAGGTTCATGTGCCTGGTGATCCAGTGGAGGAGTTTGCGAGGTTAATCGTTTCTGGGGCATGCCGAGGAGATGCTTACGTGAAGGTCCCGAGCTGGTATAACATATTCCTTCTATATAGGGCGTTTGCACCAAATGTTCTGAATTGGACATTTCGCTTGCTTTTTGCGGATCACCCTGCAAGAAAAACTTCCTTCATTGGCACGGGCAAGCCTCTTCTGGAGTCACCCACTTCTAAGAAACCTATTACGAGTCCCTATACATTCGCCCAAGTCGCTCTTCAACAGCAGCAGAAAATGGAGTAGAGATGTCACGTACCTGGATTTTGCATTTGTTAATGTTAATTTGTTTTCTGTTGGGCTTGTGAACTTTTGTCATAAACCATTGTGAGAGTGCATAGAACAATTCAATAGGTTGCTCAGAAGAACTTTGGCTGTAGTTTCTAAATATGGATCTTTTCAATTAATTGTAAAATGAATTGGAAAAAAAATTAATCGTAAAACCAGTGTGTCATCTCAAGTGCTTCCTGGGTTTTATGTCATTTCACGAGCATAGACAACATTTTAGGAGAAAATTTCAGTGGGTTTAAAAGTTGTCTCACATGGTGGGGTCCAACATGTTGAATTAGTTGATTTTTTCTTTAAAGTACCACTAGGAGAGTTGTCGGAGTCGCAACCTAAAAGTCTGAACCGTCATCAGATCAATCCAATGCATGTCGTTTAGGAGTGATCCAGTGGAATATGCGTAGGTGGAAACAGGTATGGAGTCGATAGAGGCTGAAAACACCAAGTTGACAAAGAAAATCTCACTACAACTTAAACATATGCTTCAATGGAATGGAAATGCTTAAAGCCTCCCTCACTCTCCATTCACTTCGCCGCCCACTGTCAACTTAAGGAAAACTAAGATTGTGTAGCGATCGAGTATGGTTCTCGTAGACAATAGGATGCTACATCCTGTGCCACTACTGTGGCTTCAGGCGTTGAGCAGGAGCACAGCCAAAAGTAACGTTGGGTTTCGGGAACTCGGAAACTCAGTTACCCCATTTTCTGCGACATACTCATTTCTAATCTTTCTGTCCTCCGTCCAGCTACTCATTGGCAAATGTGTTGAATCTTTTTATATTAAAAAGCTTGATTTAGTATGGTCTCTCTAATACTTACAAATTTATTTTTAGAGTCAATTTTTTTTACAAAAAATTCTCGTAGTATTTCAAGAGCTATTTTCTGTCATTCTTGTCTCTAAAACTTTTTTACTCTTTTTTTTTCACTTCTTTCTCTCCAAAACCTCTTTGCCCCTCAATTTGTCACTCCCTCAAAATTTCATTCCCTCTTCATATTTTCCTTTCATGTTAACTCTTCCCACCAATTTTTAGCCAATACATAACCAATACAGACAAATAAAACACTTAGCCAACAATATAAACAACACAAGTGCATGGCAATGAATTCAATAAACCAACAATCAAATTCAGCCGCAAAATTCAACTATGAGCACAATTTATGAAGTACGATCAAATGATGGTGGCATAGCATTCATGTGAAATCTTAAATTTCTCCATATCATCAACACTCAAATGTGGAGAATGTTCTAACTCAGAAGGCTGAGAATCAATTTTTGTGCGATATCTATCAATCCCATGTCCAGTTTCATTGCTCAAACAGTCACCAACCAACTCATCCAAATCTAACTCCCCATCCTCCATGTTAATGTATATATGTTTGTCCCACACCAGTTAAATTAGGAAACTTTACTACTCTTTTATACTATAAATAAATCTCGTCACGTGTAGAATAATTTACATCAAAGCAATATACAGTTGATATTTGTGCGCGGTGGTTTTTGCACAATAAACAAATGAACAGATCTCTCCTTGGTGAACTCAAGATTTACCTGAAAAGTCAACGATCCCTTGGCAAACGGAGGTGAGAAATGGTATAAGGAGTGGTGATGAATTACTTTTTCAACAGTCCGCGCGATTCTGGCAGATTGAGATGAACTCTACCACTCAAAAAAGGAGGTTAGAAGGGCGTCAGAGTGTTTTTTGGCGTGACCCCTCCGACAATTAAGTCAATATGTGAGAGAGGGGAAGAAAACACTGTTCTATTGCTTTTTGTGAGAATTGTGTACCTTTGTTTTGCATTTGTGAGAGCTATTTATACCTCAAAAGAGGTAATCATTGCAGACAGGTGGGTCCCTTGGGGAGGCAGCTCCTCATTGGTCCCTTTGAGAGGCGGCATGTGGAGCATAGTCCTAGGACAGAGTGCCTTCCTCTTTACACGAAAAGAAGCTTCAACATTTAATGCTCGAATTCCCGAGCATTTAATGCACCTTTCCTGGAGTCTGTCGAGCAATAAATGTGTTCCATCCATCTGAATGGTCATTTAATGCCTTTCTGTGACAATGGCGCACGAGCAGGGGCATCTTTGTCCATTGGCCCCTAATTCTGAGCTTTGAGCCTTGTGTATCATTCTCATTGGCTATTGACCTACTCCTTCTGTCATTTTGACTACTTTGAGAAGGCAAGTCAATGATTATTGATCAATTCTAACTCCAAATAACGATAACCGTGAATCTACCATCAGTGCCTCGGGGCATTAGAGCCAAGGAGACGTGTCAAGAAATGGACCTCGGGGGCGTTGGGCACGTCGAGGACAGGTGTCGGGAGGACATCTCCCTCGGGGAACTTTGAAAGCTTAGGACAGGTGTCACATGATGAAGAATCCGAGGTGCTATTAGTGTCGAGGACACGTGTCACTCGCGGGGAGCTCCGAGGAACCTTTTGTGTCGATGACTCATGTCACTTGCAGACAAGGCCGAGGGTCTCTAACACCGAGGACACTTGTCATTCGAGGGAGCATCTATGTGTCTCATGTTGAGGACACATGTCGACTCCTCGGTGACTCTCAAAAGTGTCCCATCAATTGCCCCAGCCCTTGATCTTCATACGGCGTGGGTGATGTGGCGTGAGAAGATGAAAGAGCTTGCCTCTTCCTCTCTTCTACAATCATTTTCCCTCTAGAAATCGTGCCACATTTAATGAACCCCTTCGTGCCTTGTGTGCAATGATGGGGGCTAGCCTCTCTATTTAATTGGGCCCTTGCCCCCTTCTTCCAATTTTTGCAATCTTCATAAGTTCAGAGTCTTCCACCAAAGTTTTCATCAGAGAATCCACTGTTTTTGCCTGAAGGGCCATCGATTTCTCAGAAATCACAAGTGAAGGAAGCCACCAACCTCTCCTCTGTATCAGGACCGTTCTCATTTGGTGAGTAACTGTTTTGCCCCCTTTTCTTTTCTTATTTGGTGACCATCCTTTCCCTATTCTGTCTCTTTCTTCTTCTAGTAGTGTCATACCACCCTTTTGTCCTCATCTTTTCTTTCTTGAGTCCCTAGTTGCGATCTTTAGGTCTCCCATCCACAGGAAACAACCCCTTTTGAGTCCTCTTTTTCTATTTGAAGCATGCCGAGACATTGTCGAAGTTAGAACGTCGGGGCCGATAAGGTGGGGCCCTCAAGGCCCAGGAAATACACTGTTAAGGGCCGACAACAAATAACCAATTTTATAGCCCATTACTCCATTCCTTCTGTGGTAACTATAGATTACTTTGTCGTCGGTCGTCATAGTGCCACTGTTGGCATCGAGGGGGCTATGCCCTTTTATACAATAACTATCATGGAAGGGGGCATTAGGTTGCCCCTTTATCCCTTTCTTCTTCTCTTCCTTTCTCGATTTTGGCTCTTCCCAGGACAATGTTGTTTGAACACCTTTAGGATCATCATGGGGGTGGTTGCACTGAACAAGGGACTACAATTAAACTTTGGCCTGGATGATATCCTCTTCTACTATGCTTTGGTGAGGGTGACATCTTATCAAATGTTCTATCTCAAAGCTCGAGACCCTATAATGTACCTTGTGACCCATCTTCAGTACAAAGATGACCCACTCATCTTCGGAGGTCAATGGGAGAGGAGAGTCGGCCCCAAGTATGTCGATTGTGGTGCCTCATGTAGTGGCGAACTAGAAGTACGTCTGCTCTTCTCTCTTTTTTTTGCTTTTCAACTCTTTGGCTCTTTTGTTCCTTCTTTTGACTTTGATAATTATTAATAACAATGTTTATCTTGTTTAGGGGTCTCCGACACTGACTCTACTGTTCCCCCACGAAACCAAGTCAACCTTAGTGACATCAGCTTTGTTTGGAGCTACTTGGGGAACAATGGTCTCGGTTGAGATGCTCACCTTCTTCTCGACTACACCCCTGATTAGCACAAAATATTGCAACTCATGTATATGGGAGAAAATGCAATTAATCTAAAAATTAATGAAGTTTCTGTGCGATTGCAGGTAAGGAATGGGAAATGGCTTGAGTTAAGCCCTCATCATAATGCTTGAAGACAATGGAGAAGAAGGAGCGACTTGGAAGGTGAAGAAATCAAGAAAAAGACAAACCAAGAGAAAACTTTTCGGAAGGTTTGGTCATCGAACTTCCGGAAGGTTTGCTCATTGGACAGCTTCTACCTTTGCCCCTAACAAAACCTTCTAGAAGGTTTGCACATTGGAGAAGACCTTCTGGAAGGTTTGGCCTAGAAATGCCAAACACCTACAACTTAAACTCTACCAACTTGGGGGGCCCACATATGTTTCTCCCACACCTACCCTAACGTGTTCTATCTACAACCATGCCATCCTTACACAAAATTCTAAACTTGAAAGAAATGGTATGGATGAAAAGGAAAGAGAAAGAGGGAGGCTGGTCAAGGGTATAGGGAGTGCAGACATGCCTACTCTTTGATTATGCAGGTATCCAAACTCTTCCAATCATGGAAACTCTGTAGCACACAGACCATAGATCTCTCATAGATGAAAATTACACCACTCTCGAGACATTACACAACATTGTTCAGCACTTTTAGAGGGAGAATCTCTTAAGGTAGAAGACATAGTTTAGAGAGAGAAAGCTTAGATTTTTGTAATTTTCTCATCCATTTCAGTTGTTGTAAGTTATATTTCACTGGTAATCTTCATTTATTGCAGTGTAATCTCCTTTATTTCAAGTGTAATCATGTTTAATTCAAGGTTCTTGCACTTTTATATTTTCAACTGGGTTTTGTCTTTAAGTTTTCCATTTTGGTATGAAATGAATTCTCCTTTGTAGTTTACGTTCTCCTAGCATTAATACAAGTTCTAAGCTTCATTTCATCTCTAGTTTTAGTCCATTTCATCTACATGTCTCTTTACATTATGAATGCTTTTACTTTAAACATGAGTAGCTAAGATTTTTGTTGGTTAATCCAAGGGGAACTTCATTTTGGGTATACTAAATCAACTCTTCTCCATTCTACCTCATAGTGTAACGTACTTGATTTGACTAGGTTGAGTGCAGATGTGGTTGTGAGCTCTTGATACACCATAGACTTGTCATGAGGTATGCTTGAGCCTACACTTCATATTAGTCCCTCACTTCCTATGAATCAATCAAACACCTAGGCACCATTGGTTGAATGAATTGAGTTGATTTGGTATTCCCATTGGAATGACCTATTCAGATAAGCCAACCTTATTTTTATTGCATTTTACCAACAATCTTTACTCACCCAAACACCAATTCACAAGATTTTACACTTTTCCATTTTTATAAAATCACCTTCACCACAATTTAACCAACCTTCCCTGAGGAGATGACCTTGGAATACTCCATTCCAACTAAAACACGACTTCGAAAGTCTCTCTACGCATGGGGAGCACTTTTACACACAAACACATTTTCATCCACACACATTTTTCTCATTTCTAGCATCAAACCTGAGGGAGAGTGACACTCACCTACTCATATAAGCCATATACACATGACCAGGTGATGTTCAAAGATTAGGGAAAACCAATCAAGCAACCCCCAGATACTTAAACTTATCTCAAACTCCCCAACCCTTTGACCCGTCAAGGTGGTCGGCGTTAGTTGGGAAAAACTTGGAGGAGGACACCGATAGAGCTACTGAAGCCGAGGTAGAGGCTACTAGAGACATAGTAGATGAGGTTGAGGAGATAAGGGATCCATCAACCACCATCTATGTCAAGGCAAGTACTTCAGGCAGGGAGGCTTGGCCTGACTTCAACGTTCTTCAAAACTTAGACGAAGAAGATGCCTTGGAGATAGCTATGTCAAACCCGCCATGTATCTCCATTAGCATGATTAGGGAAAGGGCAACTCTTACCATTGGATAGGGCTGAGGAACGGACTCCAACATTACTCCCAATCAGGGGCATACTCGCCCTTTCGGAGTTCCAGTCGAGGGGTCCATACCCCCTCCCGCCTCCTCCTTCAACCGACGTTCTGGTTGTGTCAATGCCAATTAGGCGCGGCCGAGGGCATGGAAGGGATCCTTAGGAGGAGGAGATGAGGGTAAAGTAGAGGTATGACGACGACCAAAGTAGAGACACTCCAACTCTGACACCAACTCCAATGTCAATGCTGATGCCGTCGAATGCCCCAGAATGGCGTGCCAGGGTGGTTGACTCCATCGTTGCCTCTCCCCACACCACCTACGCCATGAGTGAGGCCATCCTCTTCGATGCTGACAAGTCGGTCCACAAGGGGCATGGGAGCAACAACTTACTCTGACACCAACTCCAATGCCAACGCCAACACCGACGAATGCCCCAGAATGGTGCGCCAGGGTGACTGACTCCATCGTTGCCTCTCCCCACACGACCTACGTCGTGAGTGAGGCCATCTTCTTTGATGTCGACATGTTGGTCCACAGGGGGCGTGGGACCAACAACCTCTTCCGCTCTATCATCCAAAACTCATTGGTGGTAAGGCTCTAACACTTGTAAATTTTCTCCTCTTCTTTTTTGCTTTAGCCTTCCGTCGGCGTAATCTCTTCCTTTATTTTCTAGATGGCCCAACAAATATCTGTCATTGTTGAGCACTTCTATGTGCATCAGGACTAGATCCAGGAGTGCGAGAGACTCCAAGCTGAGTTGGCCTCGATTAAAAAGGAGGTGGCCGCTCGGGATAAGACTCTGTCCACTTAGGGGGCCCAAATTGCAGAGCTTTTCAAGGAGAGTGAGGCTTCCAAGTGAGATGCTAACAAAGTCAAGGCCTCACTTGCCAACACTGAAAAGAGGATTACCGAGGTGACAAAGCAGCTTTCAACTGTAGAAGCGAAGGTGCTTGAGTCGAAGCAGACTTGTGCAGCTCTTACCCAAGAGTTGGACAAGTTAAGGGCAGAGATGGAGGCAAACAAAAAGACAGAGCAAGAGATTGTCAATCGATGAGTCGATGACATCTTGGTGGCCTTTGAGGAGAACAAGGAGTACTTTAAGCTCGGCTGGGATGAGGCGATTCGGGCAGTAGGGGTCCCTACCGAGTCTCCATACTTCTAGGAGCATGAGTACGTTCCTTCTACAGAAATGGTGCAAGCCTCCTCAGAAGTTGCAACTGAAGGTGTTGGGGTGTCCCAAATGCCAAGCTCGGCTCCAGCAGCTGAGACTTGGGGCAATCCTGTAATTCCTCCCATTGACGTCGCTCCTGCTCAAGTTCTTACTAACTCAACTCTTGCTCCTTGCACTCTGCCTGTCTCTCAGGTTATGGCTCCCACTATTCTGACGCACCTGGTGCCTCCCTCTCGCAATGTCGACTACTGCTCTGCAAGCATTGATGAACTCTTTGGAGATGTTGACTGGCGGCATCGGCGGTGAGGTTACTTGGTCTACTCCTGGGACTTAGTTTTTGTTTCCTTGTAACTTACTTGTTATTTTTGTTGCTTGAGGGACGCAAAGTCCTCCTTCATTTTCAATGAAAATTTATCTTCTTTTTTCTAAGTGCTTGCATCTTTTTTCTTTTGCCAAGTGTAATCCCTCGGGACAATCATTTTCATAGATTTCACGATTGCATTTAGCCTATGCAATAAGTCGTTGAACCGTTGATGATGAGCACTACTTTTTATCCCAAGACGAATGGTCAATCGGAGAGGACTATCCAGACGTTAGAGGACATTCTGCGGGCATGCGTCCTAGATCTCAGGGGTAGCTGGAAAGATCACTTACCCTTGGTGGAGTTCGCCTACAACAATAGTTATCAGACGAGCATACAAATGACACCCTATGAGGCACTATATGGGAGGCCTTGTCGATCTCTGGTTTGTTGGACGGAGGTAGGAGAGAGACTCTCTATGGGTCCGAATTTGGTTAGGGACACCTTTGAGAAGGTGGACTTGATACGGAAGTGCCTTCTTACAGCTTAGAGCCGACAGAAGAGCTACGCTGACAAACGACGGCGACCTCTAGAGTTTGAGGTGGGAGATCATGTCTTCTTGAAGGTGATGCCTAAAAGAGGAGTGGTCAAGTTCGGCAAACGGGAAAAGCTGTCGCCGAGATATATCGAGCCCTTTGAGATACTTGAGAGGGTGGGTACAATTGCTTACCAGTTGGCATTACTGCCAAATCTATCAGGTGTTCACGCAGTGTTCCATGTCTCTATGCTTCGGAAGTATACTCCAAATCCGACACATATGGTGGAATGAGGTGAGTTGATTGTTGATGCGGATGGTACCTTCGAGGAGGGACCAGTGCGTATCATGGATAGTCCGGATCAGGTTTTGCGAGGCAAGACCGTGAGGCTAGTGAAGGTGCTGTGGCAGCACCAAGGAGTGGAGGAGGCAACATGGGAGCGTTAAGACACTATACGTACCAACTATCCTTTCTTATTCAAGGATGAAGGTACATTATTATAGTCACTTAGTATTATATGACTATTACATACGCATGTGGTTGAATGTGCATGTGTATGTGAATTTCGGGGATGAAATTCTTTTAAGGGGGAAAAAATGTAAAACCTAGATAAAATTGAACTTTTTCCAAAAAAGGGTAAAATGGTAATTTACCATTATAATGCGTATTTAAAATACTCATATTTCTAGAGCTTGGATGATACAACGAACTTCGTCATTGGATTCGTATCGTGAAATTTAGTTACCCTATCAAATTTCGTTGAATTTTGAGATAGTCAAATTTTTTACGTTTTTCGAAGCGACGGGTGTTGGGTGACCCCCAAAAATGATTTTTTTTAAAATTTTAAAATTTAAAAAATAATTTAAATAAACTTCATATAAAATATTTTGAGCTTAAACCGGTACGAAATTTAATCGTTTCAGGGTGAAAGCGGACCCGAACAAGTGGGGGATACGTGGCGCGACTCGGGCCAAGTCTTTAAAATTATAAATAGGGTAAAATATCTAATTTTCAGCAGAAAAATCTGCTGAAAGCCAGTGTCTTCAACGTTGGAGAGAAAGAGGGAGAAACAAGAGGAAAATTCAATCTTTTTTCTTCAATACCCAGCGTTCTGTCGGTCGAAATTCGTTGGACCAAGAATCAAACTTCATCTACACGACGAGGGCTACACAACCACACCAAAAACAAGGATTTCACCAAAGATCTAAGGAGGGATTTTAGAGAAATCAAGACTTTTGGGCTTGTATTGGTGTTCTTGAAGGTTCTACCTTCATTTCTACGCTCCAAGAGGTAGGGTTCCTCCTACTTTGGTTTTATGCCTACCCTTTGGTGTATAAAAAAAATAAGGGGCTGAAATTGTGGACTATTTTTGGGACTATTCTGGGGCTGTTTAGGGGCTATTTTGTGGCCTGTCTAAGGGATGTTTTGTGGCTGCTATGTGGCTTGTTTAGGGGCTGTTTTGTGGCCTATTTTGAGCGCTGTTATGTGGCTTGTTTAGGGGCTGTTATGTGGGCTGTTTTATGGGCATGTTATATGTTTACATTATACCTTGAGAATTAAGTGTGTTATTGCTTGATTATGTAATGACATGCTTGGTTGTTGTTGTTAGATAAAATGTTGATATATGTGTATTAATATGTTGACATTGTGATGAGTTTTTGGATGTTATATGCGTATGATATAATTGTCCATGATACGTGATGAAATATGTGGTTTAAATTTGGCTCATTGGCATCCATTACATTGAGCATGACATTGATTGAGCAATGATGCATCACATTGCTTTTGCACGGAAAAAATGCATCCATGGCCATGAGTATGGGTGTGTGAGTGCATGGTTAGATCAATCACCATATTTGGTATTTAATGGGTGGGCTCGGGAAAGTGGGGTTGAATATCCTACTGATTCACATGGTTGCATACGTGAAAAACTTGTGTCGGGTATAGTAAGAAGGGCTAGACTCTCCCTTGGGTGCAAGACCCGACTACTTGGTTCATACACTCACTTGAGGTAAAATTCTAAAAAAGTGTATTGGTTTGCGGAACCTACGGTGCGATTCCAAAACTCCGCTACCCAGTAAAGACACATGATTTTGTTTATAACAATACCTGGTTCGTACACTCCCCTGAGGTGAAATTCTAGAAAAGTGTACTTGTTTTATAAAGTATTCATTCAATGGGAAACATTCAACAATGAATTGGTTTTATAAACACAATGACTTGTATTTCAAAAACAATCATTGGATGTGTTTCATCAATGAAAAATGTTTTACACATTTGCATTACATTGTGTTGTGGGAGTCGGTGAGGACTCGGGTTATGATGCATGAGTGAGTTTCATCTCGTTTCATAGCATGAGATGGTAGAATTCCAATCTGGAATTTCATATTCTTACTTGGAATGTTGATGTGAATATGAATATTTGAATGTGAACATTGCATGTGCACTTAGGTGGGGAGTAGTCTATGTACGAATTACTTTATTAGGCGTGGCTCACCCTATACGGAAAAATATTTTAGGTGTGGGATATACACCGGTGGATGGCTTTCGTTCGGGGCCGCAAGGGTGAAGAAAGCCGACTTGTGGCTTTTATAACTCATTTTGTAAAACTTTTGGAGCAAACTAGTTTTGGCATGTAATTTTATGTAAGAGAGTTGTAATTGATTCTTGGATGTTTCCCATATGGACTGTTTTTAATATAACATTGCATGTTTTTTTATATGAGTATGGATGAATGGACCCGGTGCGGTCATTGTGTTATATCGGGCCTCGGCTGGGTCGTGTTAATGTATATTGTACAAGTTGGGTTTTGGATAGAGCTCCCCGTACTAAGGAGACTTTGCCCAAATTTTATTAAATTAAGGACCCCCGATTTTGGGGCATAATGGTGTGATACTGAGTTACTCGGTATCTACGGGTATTCCACGGGTTGATGGGTAATCAACGGACCTCTGAATTTTGGGGCTTCACATGCATTCGGGGCCTCTTTGGTGAAGAAAAGCCGGGTTGTGCCTTTTGAATACAAGTTTGGTGTAAAACTTTTGTTAAAATTCCATTTTGACATGTAATCGTGTAAATAACTTGTAATAGAACTTGTAGATATCAAGTTTTATGTGAATAACATCATTATGTATGTTTGAGATGATGTTACAATGTTTAAAATTGGATTTGAAATGTAAAACAGGTGAAACAGGAAATATGGGCATAGCGTACCGGTACGGCGAGGTCCAGAGGACACAGCGTACCGGTACGCGTACTAGTACGGTGAGGTCCAGTGAGTAACCCGTACCGGTACACTTTGGCAGATTTTGAATTTTTTTTTAAATATTTCTCCCAGGCCTTGGGCTATGCATCCTTTAGTTCCTATGATGTAAATGAACTATAATGGAGCATGGAATGTGGTACGTTGGACCACAGTTAGATACAATGATAAAGATGCACGGGTGTTATGTGTGAGTTTGAAATTCTGGTAATGGGATAATATTAGCGTGATGTCGGATCCAACGGCACTCGAGGGCATTTCTGCGGGTTGACGGATGGTTAATGGGACCCCCGGTTATAGGGGCGTCACATTGCCTAACCCTAATTTGTTCAAAATCTTCATATATGGCAGGTCCCTCAACAATAATAGACTTAAAATAAAAGTAGGTATCATACCAAACTTGCTGATCAATGTTTTCAAACATAGCAGTGTCAAATGGATTCTAACCCTGAGGTTGATCTTCTTGTTGCGAGACTGCTTCAGGTGGTGGAGAGGCTCCTTACCTTGCTCGGCTTGATGAGGCTCTTGTTCTTGATCTTGATCTTGGATTCATGAATTTCTTGTTCAGTATAAGATTTCAAGGATTTTTGTTCAGTAAAAACCTATAAAAGATAATGGTTAAGTGTTTAATCAGAGTAGAATCGAAGAAAATTTTATTAGTGAAGTGAATTTGAAGAGAGATGGTGGAGAAATCTGTTGTTTTTTTCAAATTTATGTTGTGAGGGAACTGCTGGATTGTTCAGTTTCGTGAATTAGGGACTTTATACTGGCTAGTACCATCCAGACGCTATTAGCACTGTCTGGATGGTGCTGATCCTCTGGAATTTGCTCAGGCTTCTTGGCTGCTGACCCTTGATCTTCTCCAGGTATTCAGCTTCAGTTTTCACCCTGTAGTTACAGATAATTAGTTTAAATTCAAACATTTACACATTAATAATCTAATAAACTTAAATTCTACAAACACACAAAATCAAATTATAATTATATACATTTCTATGCATCTTATGATTAGACACTTCGATTATAGTTAGTTTTAATTAGAATCTTCTAAATCGAGAACATCAGTGAACCAATTAATTTTCCATTGCACATATCTTGAAAACATTGGATTAGAATAGGGTGGCGTCTCAAGGTAATCCTTACTCTACCCATACTTAATCTAGTCGAGATGATCAAATGCTCGACCTGAAATTGGTTCGGCGCATTG